CCTCTGTACTCCATTCGTCGTGCAATTCGAACGTGTACGATGTGTGTGTCGGTTGTAGGACGAGGAAGCATGGATACAGTGGTATCTACGGAAACAAGTACATTAACAATTCCACCTTTGCATCGGAACTGACCAGTAGGGCCGAATGAAGGCCAGATAGTCTGAAAGATATGCTGGGCCGCTACCAACCTCTCTTCTAACCTTGTTAAGTCACTAAGCATCTGAGGTACGGGAGGGAAATCCAGTCCGTTTGAAAGACAGTAATGGAGCTGTTTCCAGTGCTTAATACTTTCTGCGCGAGTTGTGCAGAAAAGCCCTTCGCTATTTTGCTGCAAATAAAATGCATTGTTAATGAGGGTGGTCCGGAACGGGTTCCCGTTGCCTGCTCCTACCAAATTTGTTTTAATTAGTTATGGACCGTTTAAAAACCAATCGGCCACAGCAATTACATACCTGAGTAGGGCCTTCCTTTATAACATTTTCATAACTGAACACAGCAGTACTGTAAACTGAGCGTTGCTGGCGGGATTCCTGCCTTCTCGTCTGTTCCTGAACTCGCAGTTCCATTACCTCTCTTCGGCGTTGCATCCTTAGAGCATTTTGTTCTCGTTCCCTCACTGTCTCTTGAGTGGACCTCCGGTTTCGCATTGCCGTATTATTTGTTTCTCTTTCCCTTCCCCTGTATGCGGGATCGGTGAGCCTGCGATTTCTCATTGCCTCCGAATTTGCTCTACGTTCCTGTGTTCTATATTCCACATCAGTCTGTCGCCACACTTGCATCGCTGTACTGTTTGTTCCTCGTTCTCGCCCCCGATAAAGTGGACTGGCATCTCGAAGAAACCGTATTGCCGCAGTGTTCATCTCTCTCTCTCTCTCTCGATAGTCCGTGTCGGTTTGTCGGCGTATCTGCGTTGCTGCTGTGTTCAATTCTCTTTCTCTTTCTGTGTAAGCGGGGTTATTTTCACGGCGCAAGTGCATCGCTTCGCTGTTTAGTTCTCTTTCCCTCTCTCGATAACCGGGATCTGCTGCGCGGCGTAGCTGCATCGCTGCACTGTTCGCTTCTCTTTCTCTCTCTCTCTCTCTCGATAATCTGGGTTTGTCTCACGCCTTAACTATATCGCTTCACTGTTCGTTTCTCGTTCTCTCCCTCGATAATCCGGGTTTATTTCGTGGCGTATTCGTATCGCTTCACTGTTCATTTCCCTTTCCCTCTCTCTGTAATCAGGGTCTGTTTCACGGCGTAGCTGCATTGCTTCACTGTTCGCTTCTCGTTCTCTCTCTCTATAATCCGGATTTACTTCACGCCGTAATTGCATCCCCTCCTCATTTGCTCTCCTCTCCCTCTCCCTGTACTCCTCATTGCTTCTGCGAATCCTCATAGCCACTGCATTTGCAATTCTTTCTCTTTGTCTATTTCCTTCCGCGCTTCTCTGCAAATGCATGCGCTTCGCTGTTTGCCGTGCTTCCGCTTCTCTGTAGGAGGGGTCGGCTCTTGCAGCACGTTTTGCAGCCGCATCTTCCACCCTCTCAATTTCCCGGAATGTTTTTTGATCTGCGCTGCTCGTTGGCTGGACGCCTGCAATATGTGCAATTTAAATGTTGAAAACTGGAGTAGTGCATGTGGATGACACAGTGTTAGAATCATAGTTTTCCTTGTTCTTACCTGAGGAACTCTGATACCCGTGACCGCTTGTGCTTGGTTGTTCGCTGCCCAGTCCTACTGCTGGTGCAGGAATCATCCCTTGCATGACTTGACCGTGCTCGGATTGACTGTGCCCATCGTGATCCTGCTGCAGACCCGATTGGGCCAGTCG